GCCGTCCGCTTCGTCTCGTCGTCCTGATCCCGAACAACCCTGAAAAGGTGATTCAGGGCCGCGATCAGCGGAGGCTGTGCCGCCATCAAAAGCGAATGTCGGCTGAACTGGCTTGAGATCGTTTGAACACTATAGGAAAACGAAGAAACCGAGTAAGTACATTCTCCTCAAACGTGCCACAAAAGCATGAAGAATGAAAACATGTTGCGTGACCCATCGTACGTCCATGCTCCGACCACCAACACCGACAAACAAACTGCATGAGTACAAGCACTTGACACAAACCCAACATGAGCACAATAGACTCAAACCCAACATTAAAGTCAGGTACATGCAACACACATTCACCAACACCAGCGTTGAAACGCTAGGTTGCGCAGAGCGCATCAATTCATTTTCCATCAAGTCAAAGCCCGGTTCGTCTCAATCCGACAAACCTTTAAAAATCAGGTCAAAGCCACTTCAGTGAGCTCCAACACCCTCGATGTACACTCCATCCTTGAATCCTCCTATACGAGCCGCCGAAACACCTCACTCATCATAGCCCCTTCACCTGACCACTTCAGTAAAGGTGCTCCAGCACAGCGCACTGCCAAGGCCTCGTCCACCTCCAGAAACAAGGTCAGCCCCTTCTGATCCGCTTGCTCGGCCTCAGCACCTCCACCGGTGGTGGTGCCTTCTTCCATGTGTCTGGATGCCTGTACAGAACAAGCGGATCATCTGGCTCAACTGGCTTGAAATTGCGTGCCAGTGGCAACACAACCTTGAATTTGTTCAGGTCAAACTTCTGATCAGGCTTCTCCACCAGCTCCATGTTTGCCTGCTCCTTGTCATCAACCACCTGCATCATCCAGAACGGATTGATGATGTCTTGCTTCAGCGCCACATCGCTCTGCAAGGACACCTGCCAGCCCTTGAAGGTCCCCAGCAACACACTGCTCTGGCTGACCTCAAAGCGCTCTGTCACCGCAATCTTCGAGGTGCAAGCGTTCAACGTGAGCTTGCGAAGCTTGAAGGCCTTGGCAGCCTTGACCTCCTTGTTGGACATCACGCACACATCTTCATTAGTCGGCATGTCAGCCTCAAGCATTGCCAGCAAAATCCGTCCTGCCCAAACGGCAACAACAAATGAAGCAAAGGACATGACTCTAAAGTTGAACCACTGCACCCTTTGCAGGGGTAAAACATTACCAACCTCTCGACATAGTTTGTCCATCAAACCACCGCTCTGCCAAGCAGGGTCATATATGATTGTATTTGGGTCATTTGAAAAACATGTCACGCCATGCAACTCGAACAAATCTGTTGTCAAGCAGTGGTCATGGCTCCTCGAAGGCACGCTTTCTCGAAGTCTGGACCCTGCAGCGGGTTCTCCCATGGAATCACCTTTGCTGGGCTCTTCTCCCGAACGACCCGCCACTCGCCGTCAAGAACTGACTGCCCAGAAACGTTCATCAGCTTGTCACCGACCTGCATGTGCACCACACGTGCGCCATCGTCCACGCTCATGATCTTCCCAGTGGCTTTGTCTGCCTTCCGGGACAGAGTCAAGCCAACCGTAAACCCTGCTGCCTTCAAAGCCGCAGCAAGGTTCAGGATAGCGCCAGTTTCACTGGTCTCCAACATGCAGGTTCCCGCCGAAGATGACGTCAAAGCACTTGGAGGACTTGCATCCACTGCAGCAGACCATGGCGACGTCAAAGTCTTGCCGCATGCGGTCGAGAGGCGCTCCACAAACTCATGACCCACCTCCTCCAAGCTCTTGTGCTTCCACTCCACGCTCCTGTGCTTCTTGTCGAGGCACCGCCACACGAGCTGGCACTCAGCAAGGCCCTGAAGCTTCACCAACGTGGCTCCACTGCATGCATCCTCATGCGCCTTTCCCATCTTGTGGATCTGCAGGATGATGCTCTCCATCTTGTCCACCTCAGGCTGCAGCTCCTTTCCTGCCAAGAGCTTCTTTATGTCAGCGCAGGTGACCAACACATCCTCCTGCAGGTACGCGAGCTTCAGCGCCGCGTGCCTTGCCAGCAGCCTCGGGATCTTCGATTTCCCCTTGCTCTCCTGGGAGATGCAATCCCAGAGCTCAAATCCCAGGCTCTTGTTCACGCCACAAGTGTTCACAAACGCCTCAGTGGCGCTCAACATGTGACCACTCTTGCCACCTGCATAGTTCATGATGAACTTGAACATTGCAGGGGCAACCTTCATGTGAGGTGGCTTGCTCCGCAGCACCTCACTGCTGATGTCCAGCCATGTCACGCCGCTAGCTTTCGTCTCGCTTGCGCTCAGGTATGCCCTCAGCACCTTCCTTGCAAGCTGCAGCTCACTCTCTGCAGCGGCCAAGTGAGTGCTTGCATTGGCCGCTGACTGCACCAGCCGTGGGATTGCAGGAAACCTGCTGATGGCATGTGAGCTGAGGACCACCCACATCTGTCCTTGCTCTGCCACCCGTGCCAGCTCAGGGCACTTCTCCTTGATCTTGGCCATGCTCAGGCTGCCATCCATCGTCAGCTGAGCCGACTGATGCTGGCACCCAGCTGCGATGGCCTTGATCGCCTGGTTTGTATGCCCTCCGCTCAACGACAAGAACCGGAGGGTTCCAGGAGCGACCTTTGCCAAAGCGCCTCCGCTCCCATCTGCGAGCTTGATGTTGAAGTCCTCACTGGGCACCCGGTCATGCGGAATCTCAACGCAGATGTTGCGAGTCAGCTGGCTGTCATATCCCAGCTCACACAGCTCCTCGATCAAGCGCTGCACGTGCGACACTAGAATGCCACACCCGTCTCTGTTTTCAGGATGCACTCCAATTTGGTTTGCGGGCAGCTGCGCTTCCCATGCAAGGTTTGCCTGACGGAGAACACTCATAAAAGGTTGAAAGGAAATGTGACCATACTTGTCTTTCTTGAAACCGCTGCAACTTGCAGGGTCTAAGGCACACATGTTTTTGAGAGTGTTTCGCGAACAACCCTGCAACTTGTGCAGGGTATATATAACTCAATCGCGCACTGCGCGCATACATGAGGACATGTGCAAGAATGTGTCTCTTTGCAACTTCTCTATAACCCTGCCATTCTGCAGGGTATACACGACACGCTAGGAGAACGCAGACCTTTGGGGAACCTCTAAAAGATGAGCCTGCAAACATGCAGATGGCAGAAAGAACATTCGAACCTTTCGAACCTCATGTTCAAAACTTCTGGGGGCGCCTTTTTGAGGACGTTGATGAGCTCCTTACACCCGTGGTGAAGCTGTCCATCTTGCATGCTCTTGATGTGCTTCTCCACAGCCTCAGCCACCTCCGTAGTGATAGTCATGGCAACCCTGCCGTCTCCAAGCACGAATCCCTCAGAAACTATGGCAGCCTCGGGACAGTGTATATATAGATGGTACATATATAAGGGCACCTGTCAATGTTCCTGTGGGTAAAAGATATGTTGCGTGCGCCAACCAAGTCTGTATGCATACATTTACCCTTATAATCATCTCAGTCTGCACTGTTTATATACTTCTTTCTGGTGCGTGGATGGTCCGCCAGCACCGTTTATATATATATATATATATATTTATATTCATTCATATACTGTGTGGATTGCCCCTATATAGCCATGTCAGCCTGCACTGTTGTTGCAAGGTCACGTCATCGCATTTCGAGCCATGCTGTCAGGAAAAGGCAGCGCAAGGCCACTTGTCATTCCACTCATGGATGTGATCGAAACTTCAGCCTGATTAAGTTCAAACTCTGAAAATAGCGTGCTTGATGCTTGACCGCCCCACGAGATAGATGGAACCACACAGCTTCTCAAATCACAAGCCTGTCTCATGGAATCTGATGTGATCTCAAACATCATGCAATCTCAGATCACTCACTTGCAAAACTATATATATATATATACACCTACCTATCACAGCAGAACATGTAGGCTCATATGAATACAACAGTTCAATCAATCAACTCGCAAACCCCGCAAAAATCTGCAGGGTAACACACAGAGCCAACATGCAACCAACCTAACCGCTGCTGCAGCGGGGTATAGCTTCTTTTTCTCGAGCTCGCTCAATCCTTCATGCGCTCATCGCTCTGCCATTGCAGAAGGCGATCCAGGCGTTGCTCCGTCTCAGACTTCTCAGACTCAGCCACCGATGAGAGCCCTTCTTCAAACTCATCTAGCTCATCCGGATCTGTCTGCACGCCCTTCTCGTCCGTCTTAACGAGGTGTAGCCTCACCATCGCCGCCACTGTGCTCCTTTCCTCGTCGCTCGCGCTCCTCAACCTCCTCAACAGATCCACCATGGCGACTTGGATCGGTGGCAGTGCCATGATGGTCAGGGGGTCACTGCCTTGCTTGAGAGATCAAGCTGCAAAGTGTCAGTGCATGTCATCAGTTCATTCCATCCACACGGAAGCGTCGAAAACCCTACAAGTTTGCAAGGTGCATGGCACATGGTACTATATCCCATGACAAATGCACAATAACCAATCAAATTGCAAACCCTGCAAACATCTCCACATGTCCAATTTTGTCTCAATCAACGTGGCAAATATCGTCAGGTTCCAAAACCCTGCGTATGCCAAGACGTGACCAAAACATGGTGAACCCACACAAACTCTTCTCAGATCCCGTGCAACTGCCCGGGCAGGCCAGGTTGCGCAACCACTGCGACAGAGTCGCAAGGGTGAAACAAATAGAACTCATGCAAGCAAACCGATTGCAACATGCCCGGGCAGGCCAGGCTGCATAACCACTGCGACAGAGTCGCAAGGGTGAAACAAATAGAACTCATGCAAGCACAACGATTGCTTTTTGCTTGGCCAGGCCAGGCTGCATAACCACTGCGACGGAGTCGCAAGGGTGAAACAAATAGGAGCCATGCAACCACAACGATCGCAACAGCCCAGGCAGGCCAGGCTATATAACCACTGCGACGGAGTCGCTAGGGTGAAGCAAATAAAACCCATGAGCGCAAGGCTCAATAGCCCGGGCTGGCCAGGTTATAGGGCTCGAGTCCAACCACTGCGACAGAGTCGCAAGGTGTACAAGTGCAGCATGTAAGCGCGTTCAGGGTGGGTGGGTGGGGCGGATAGGAAGGAGAGACAACAACAGAAAACCAAGCGGGGAACAAAAACAACCAACGAGACAAACGCAAGAAAACCACACCGCAACAACACCAACCAGTGAAACAAACAAATTGGAAAACACAGCACAGTCTACACAGACACACACACACACGCACACACGAAACACACAAAAACAGTCAGCTTGCGTTTGTTTGCTTCGTTTGTTGTTTTGCGTTTTGGTTTTGATTGTTTGAAAACAATAGAACTCTGTGGTTCTTTGTTGTTTCCCTTGTTTCTTGGCATGTATATATGCGTTATTCTTTTGTGTGTGCATGTTTTCAACTTTATTTTTTACATAAATGTAGCGCATATATGTAAATCAACATTCACTCTT